GTACTATTTCTAGATTTTAGTAAGGCTTTTGATTCTTTAGAATGGATCTTTATGACAGAAACTCTCAAAAAGTTTGGATTTAAAAGTGGATTTATCAGATAGGTTGAAACTATGTATAACGATATTAAAGGGTGTATTGTGAATAATGGGTGGGTCTCAAGTCCATTTAAAATATATAGGGGAATACGACAAGGATGTCCGATTCTGCTTTACTGTTTGTTATAACAGTTGAATTAATGGCAATAAGATTGACAAAAAATAAAGAACTTACGGGAATAACAATAAAATTAGAAGGACGATCTTGCAATTTAAAAATCTGTCAATTAGCAGATGACACAACATTGTTTCTTCAGTCTCGTAAAGATATAAGCCTGGCTCTCAGTATAATAGAGACATTTGGAAGTCTATCAAGGCTGAAACTTAATAGGAATAAAATAGAAGGGATGTGATTAGGGAGATTAAAAAGCAGTAAAGATAAATATGAAAATATCAATTGGACAAATAAACCAGTCAAAAGTCTTGGTATTTATTTTGGGTATGATAATAAGGAATGTCAAACATTGAACATAGAAAAAATCTTGGATAAAATTACAAAACTTGTAGACAGATGGTAAAAAAGAAATTTAACATTGCTTGGACAAAATTTAATTGTAAAAGCTCTTCTGCTACCAAATTTAACTTATTTTGCTACTAACGGTACTATTACTAAAGATAAGTTGCAAATCATAAACAATATAATTTATAGATTCGTTTGGAATGGAAGAAAAGATAAAATAAAGAGGTCAATAATAACAAAATATATTGTTGAAGGGGGCTTAAAATGATTGATATGGAGTCTTATATAATTTCAATACATATAAAATGGATTAAAAAAATAATACAATCAGAAAATGCTAACTGGTCTGTGTTGCCTAAATTATACCTGAATAAGTTTGGCAAAAATTTGTTAATTTTCAAGATAAATATAAGAAACATAAAATTACTTGATAAAAAAATATGGAACAATACACCACTATTCTATCAAGAACTGATAAAATCATGGATAAATTTGAATGATGCTAAAAATAAGCAAATATTGAACTTTTTAGAGATCAGAAAGCAAATAATATGGGGCAATAGTTTGATAAAATTTCAAGGACAATGTCTGTTTTTTGACAAATGGATTGAAAGTGACATTTTATTCATAAACGACATAATTGATAACAGAGGGCAAATATCAGAAGAAGTAATCAATTTAAAACTAAAAAAACAAAAGTAATTGGATTGCTGAATTTTCAAAACTTAAAAAAGCCATACCAAATCACTGGGAGGAGAAGCTTAAAACTGAGAGATCATTCAAAACTATAGTTAATATTAACAGAGAAAAAATTAGACTAAGAGACAATGAGGATATACTGGGCATTAATAATAAAGATATTTATAAGATAGTGCAAAGTCGAATAAAAACAGAAATACCTATTGGATTTTTAAAATGGGAAAAGGTATTACATACAGGAAATATAAATAGTGAACTCAAAGACACTATAAAATTCACTTTTGAATATCTAAAAGATAATAAAATTAAGATGTTCAGGTGGAAATTAATGCACTTTATCTTGCCAAATAAAGAGCTGTTATTTCAATGGAAAATTTCTGAAAACAGCCTTTGTTCATATTGTAATGAACAAGATAACTACAATCTTTTTTTCATCACATGCTCATATAACACAAAATTCTGGAAATCAATGAGATACATATTTAACAAACTAGGTATTGACAAACATGTAATAAGCCTACACTCTCTAGTAATAGGATACAAGATTCATAATGATGCTTATTTTAGACTTAATCACTTGCTGAGTTTAATGTTTTTCTCAGTCTATAAATCACATTATAAATCCAATAATAAGGCAAAAAATAGACATATTGAAAATATTTAAATATGAAATCAATAGAACAGTTGAATTATATTGTACGGCCAATTTAGAAATAAACAGAATGTTAAAAAAGGTGTTACAGATCTTGAAATAAATAAAATTAACTTTTGGAAAAAACAGTTTCTTGAAAAGCAGAATGCATGTATTAATATGTTAATATTGTGTATTTGTTTTCAATGTTTCAAGTGTATCAGTAAGCATATATGCTACTATAATGTATGTATATGTGTTTATGTATGCAAATGCATGTATACATGTATGTGAAAGCATGTATCTGTAAATGTCTTTATATATGTGTACTGTACATGTATGTATGTAACTATATGTATGGATGTATGCATATGTATGTGTGTATGCATGCATATAGGTATGTAAGTTAAGTATGTATGTAAGTGAAGCATAAAATTAGATTGGCAAGAAAAAGGGGGGGGGTAAATGTATTGTAGAAAAAAGAAATCATTTTTAGATAATGTACATCATGTATCATGGGAGATATTCTAGGAGACTTCTCAAAATTTGCTGATAATGGAACACTCTGGCAAACAGCTAAACCAGACCAGATAATAGAACTAAAGGATAGAATGAAGGATGACATCACAAAAGCAGTGAAATGGACTCAAAAATGGAGAGTTAACATCAACCTGGACAAAACTGAAATATGCATCTTCTCAAAACAGACAATCGATGAAGAGGACAAACGCATTTTTGATTCAAGGTAAAGAACTCAAATACAGCTCGACACCAAAGCTCCTTGGAACCATTATGGACGAGAAAATTACCTTTAGCAAACACATAGATGCCATTGAAAAGTGAGCAAACCGGAATTTAACTATTCTGAGAGAAGTGAGACAGATTAGCAAAGTTAAGACAGAAAAGCTATTACAATTATACTACAGTCATGAAATACTGTAGCCCAGCATGGCAAATAGCAGAACCAAAAGACCTGCAAAAACTTGACAGAGTACAGAGAAAAGCACTAATCCTATGCATGGATATGCCTACAACATCTGGCATAGAAGCACTAGAAGTCGAAACAGGAGTTATGCCAATAGACTTTAGGCTAGAACAAATAGCCATAAAAGAGATAGCAAAGATTAAATCCAAATCTGCACAGGAACCCATCAAACAGCAACTTGTGAGGTATGAAGATCAGGACACCTATGACAAGTACGAAACACCAATGGGCAAAGCATTAAGCCAAGCAGCAGAAATGGACAAACAGACGAAGATTAACATCAATCTCATAGAACCTGACTGGGAGAAACTCAAATGACCCAATCAAAACCTTCCTATTGAAGTCGACTAGGCAACTCAAAATCAAGGACAAGTGAGCAACAAGAACTTTGCCAGGAAACCATTAACCAACTCATGGGAGATTACGCACAAGAACAAGCAATATCGTTCACAGATGGATCATGCTTAGGGAACCCAGGACCCTGTGGAGCAGGAGCAATTATCTATGCTGAACACATTAAACCTGCTGCAACACTACATAGACCTGTGGCACAAAGAGGATCCATCCTCCTGGCGGAACTCATAGCGATTCTCATGGTCCTTGAATACTGCATTACAGAAAATATGTACAACACAATACAAAAAATCTAAATTTTCTCTGACAGCCTAAGCGCCGTGGGATTACTAACACTGAACTGGGCCCCAAATAGCTACATCTCCGTAATAAGAGAAATAAAAGAACACTTTGAGCATCTTAGGCAAAAAGGCCTAAATGTAATCATATCATGGACACCAGGAAATGCCAATATAGCTGGCAATGACGAGGCTGACATCCTTGCAAAAACAGCAGCACAGGAAGCAAAAGAACTACCACCGGAAAATAACGTTATCACACTACAGGACGTCAAACAGGCAGCCTATAAAAGTACAGGAGAAAATGGGAAATATCTGAGAGAGGCAAGGACCTTAACAAAAAAATACCAACTACGAAACACTCAATTATGTAAGATTTTCCCACTAAAAGACATTTCAGTATATTCGCCCAACTAAGAACTGGCAATACAGAACTCAACTACTACAAGAACCGAGTAGGCCAAACCAACGCCATAGAATCATGCAACTGTGGAGCACCTGAAACACCTCACCATTTCCTTCTGGAGTGTCCCTGCTATGAGAACGAACGAGAAAATATGTTACAACAAATATCCAAAGAGGTCGGGATCAGAAATCTGAATTTAGCTACTATGCTAACACGACTAGACGGCGAGAACACCGAAGAGACAAAAGCCAAACTACAAACAGTGGCACATTACATTGACAGAACAGGCAAATTTGATACTGGTGTTCCTCAATCCCAATCTTAACCAGCGCATACTAATTTAAAGCACAGAAAAGAAAATACGAAACCTGCACATTGGGAAAATTCGTGCCAACAGGCCTTAAGATTGAGGATTGAGGATGTATCCTATCTTATCTGTACATGTTTATAGAAGTCAACAAAGCTTTTGTCGATGGTATTAACTTTCATTTGTTTAATGATTGTTTTCTTTTTTATGTGAAACTATAAGAACAAATATATAAGTATAATAAGTATAATTGTAATGTTTACAAATATAAAGGTCACGGGTAGTTAAATTGGGGTCAAATTTGTAAACAAAGTTTCATTACAAGAGCTTATAAGAAACAAACATTTTCAAATATAACTTACCATTCTTTATTATTATCTAACACTTCCAAAAACTTGTATAAATCCAAAGGTATAAAATAACAAAAAGTATCAGTAACCACGCTGTCTCTCATTCACGTAGATTTCATGACACAGCGTCTGTAACATCTTTACTTCGATAAGATTTTATATGATATTATGATTATTTATAAAGTAATTATAGAAAAATAGAAATGTATTAAAATGACTATGTATAAAATAAAATAAGTTTTACTATATATTCTCCCTGGTTATTCGGTAATAATTGTGTGTAACAGGGATACTTGATGGAATGCTGTACATTAAGTATTTTGTTAAAACAGCAAAGAGTGCAATAAAGAATTTATGAATGTAAGTAGAAACATGGTAATAGTTAATTCACATTTTTTTATTGACCTATTGTATCAACATATTTTTTTTTGCAGTCTACAAGAGGTAAACATGTATTCGCACCGTATGCTACTGGTTTCAAATGTGATGAAATTACACTTAATTGGGGAACCGAAAATGACCTGGAAAATGGCCATTGTTATGAAATATTGTATAAAGAACAAGGCAAGGGAAAATTTATTGCATACAAGTCAGAGGAATCATGTTACCTGAAGAAAATTTTTGTTGGAAATTTAAAACCAAACACAGCTTATGTATTCAAAGTTAGGATTGTAAACGAAGAAACCGGTGAGGAAGGCCCATATAGTAAATTGTCTGATGTTTTGAAGACTTCAGCATCAAGCATAGAAAAAATAATGGAATGTTCATCAATAATTAAGGAGGAACCTATCATGTTGTATCGATTGCCAATAGAAGAAAGTAAATACGCCAGAAATGATCGTTGGCACACTAGAAAATTTACTTATGGTAAGATCTTTATCAAATTAATCAATTCTTTACAGCTATTTTCCTAATGCCTGTGGTTTAAAGGTTTGATTTGTATAAATGTTTGCTAAAGCATTGTTATTAAGATTGACATCTGCAATCAATTGATAGGCGGGGCTTCAGCTTGTATACATTATGCTTTTAAATGTTATTGGATGTTTTACGTATAATTGCAGATTATAATGTATACAAGCTTGAGCTCCGCCTATCTATTGATAGCAGATGTCAATCTTAATTACAATGATTGAGCAAACATTTATACAAACAAAGCAAGCAAGTCAACCAAAGCTTTAAACTACAAGCATTAAGAAAATAGATCTAATATGATTAACAGGCAACGGTAATTTACTTATGTTCAAAACTTCTTAATTCATTTTGCATAAACAAATGAAGCGAAAACTACATGTAAAAATTACACCAGAAACTCATAAATGGAGATAGACCGGAGTTCGTCGATAGAGTAATTGTCCTCTCCTATGCATGCATCACCTGTCATAAAAAACGAAACAGGTTAACATGAGAGGGGGGAAGAACTGTTAAAAAATGTTTTTTTTTCTTCTTCAATTATTAACCTCTCAAAATCAGTCGTTAAAGATCAAGGAAAAAAATATGAATTAAATTTCATTACAAGGAAGTAGACTACCAAATAAGGACGGAATTGGATTGATTCCATAACCATTAAGAAGTGCTTTCATACGTTGAGTGAAATGTGTATAATGTAAACTTCTTACAATTTAATACTAAAGTTTACTTCTAAACATCTGATCAAATGGTAATATTTATGGTTTACTTAAAAAAATTCCATTCTTCATTGCTAGAAGCTCCAAGGACCCTGTACCGCCCACATGGTATTTTTGCATAAGATTGATACATTGCATTGCAATAAAAATAGTTTATGGCAACAGCAAAAGAAAAGGGCCAAATCATCAATCAGGGGTATTAACTCCTATAAGGAGTCTGTTGATGATTTTTATCATGATGATTTATTTGTAAATCTTCTTTATTGTTTTTTTTTTGTTATTTACTGTTTCCCTCTATCCACCATGTTTCCTAACAGTCAGGGCAAAAACTCCTCTGAGAATCAATGACTTAAGCCCTGTTCACAGATTCGTAGAAATGGCCATGTTGATTATTTTTACTGTATAAAGTTTGTCTCTGCATACCATAATTTCCGCAAAAAACAAGGACCACAAAAATGTGTAAAAATCGAAATGCCAGGGTAATAACACATCTAAAAGAGAGGCGAACGATACCAAATGGACATTCAAACTCATATGTCGGAAATAAACTGACAACTCGATGGCTAAAAAAGAAAAAGACAAACTGACATACAGAAAAGCAACATTACACAAAACACAACATAGAAAACTGATAACTGCGCAACACGAACACCACAAAAAAACTGGGGGTGATCACAGGTAATCCGGAAGGGATCCTGATACGCATGTGTCACCCGTCGTGTTAATCATGTGAGTACAAACCCAGTGATAAGTCTAGTTCTGTAGGTCACATTCGTGGTAAAGGGGACGGGATGTAGTAACGACAAATGAAACATATCCGCAGTCATCTTTTATACAGATATTCCATAACGGTTATTCCAATTCGTGATGGCGTCCGAAAAATTTCCGATGGGATGATTTCAAATTCACCACTTGAAACTCTCGATTCAATAGCTTCCTTGTGAGCAGCAACGTTCTATCAAGGAAAGCATAAGAGGAAATATACAAGCCCTGGAATAACGTATTAACTGGGAGATATATACTCCGTATGCAGGCGCTGCTGGAATGTTGCTAGATAGAAACGGAAAGTTCACAACTGGGAAGCTGAATCATCTCTTTTGTCGTAAAGTTTTGTTTTCACCCGATCATCATTGTCAATTTCTTGATATAAGTCAAATTATGAGGCAGACTTAAGTGTATCTGTTGTATTCTTTATCTCAAGTTTTAGGGGATAGATGCGTTCAACATAATCACCAAAGTTTGAATTATTTAGAGAGAGAACATCATCTGTATAGCGGAAAGTGAAGTTAAAGGATACTGCTAATTTCTTTTCTTTCTTTCTAAGAAGTTCATGTATGAAGTAAGCCTCATTTGAATAAAGGAATAAGTCGGCAAGAAGAGGAGCACAGTTATTTCCCATGGGAATTACGATTGTTTGTTGAAAAACACGCCCTCCAAACGTAACAAATATATTGTCAACCAATCAATCAAGTATCTTGATAATGTCAGTTTCAGAGAATTTTTTGTTTGAATCAGAGTGAATGAATTTTACAAAGTTCGATGTATCTCTCGCTAAGAAAAGATACTTGTATCTACGTTGGTCATCTTTTTTTATGACACAAATCACGACCAACTCTTTTAATTTGTCTTTTGGTTTGGAATCGGGAATACTTGGGTCAAGTGTAGAAAGTCAAAATGTTTTAAAACTGTTGCAAGATGAAAGAGTCTTAGATGGTATGTACTCTAAAAGAACTTTGGAATGTTTTAGTATCCATATCTGATTCACGCCACCCCTGGAATATGTAGTTTCACAATAACTTTGAAGCCCGCTTTGAAACTGAAACTGATAAAATTGGTTTTAGAAAGTAGTACTTGGAAAACCTTGTAATTCTGTATAAATATTCCGTAACATGAAAATACAACTGAAAGTACATTATGATTCAGATCAACACATAATGTACCATCAGGATTCCATGCTTACTCGTCGCTACTGATTTGACGTGCTCCATCGTTGGGAGACTAAAAACGAATCTCTCAATCAGCGGCACAACCTGAAAATGTTTCAATATGTATCATTAATATTTCATTTGTTATATATGCTGTTCCAGAAGGTTTTTTTTTTGTTGTTGTGATTTGCTAAAGGAAATGGGGATATATATTTTTTATAAATAACCTTAAACTATATAATATCAAATTATCCAATACTAATATCAATCAATTCTTGTTTTCTTACTTAAGTAGCCAGTGCGTTAAAGCATTGTATCTTAATTTTTGCGAGAGAAAAAATGTATAATGACCTTGCATGTACTTCTTGGAAATACACTGAATAATTTACATTTATATTCATATATAGGACAACAGACTCGTATAAAAGAAAGACATATAATGCTGGTTGGAGCAACAGGTTCAGGGAAAAGTACTCTGGTCAATGCATTGGCAAATTATGTTATTGGTGTAAGGCGAGAGGACAGTTGCAGATTTGAAATGGTACATCTTGAAGAAAACGAAATTGGGCGCAGTGAAGTACGTTTAAATACATATTCTTATATCATATATAGCATTATTGGGAGGTTAAAAATACCCGTCCATGTCTAATTAGATACGGGGATGTATAAATACGCAACCACACCTTCTTAATATTATTTTTTTCTTAAATTAACAAGTGTGGACAAAATTAAGAGAGGAACACCCAAATTGTATTTCTGCATGATGTTATTTAAATATGCGAGATGGTATATGAAATTCTGCATGCATGTACTATTTTTATGGTTCTATTTATGTTCCTTTGTGGTGGTCATTTCTAACTTAGTTTGTCCACAAAAGCTGTAAATTAGTTAAGGATCTTCCAAGTATCATTAGTAAAAGATTTCGTTTAATGTCAAAATTGTTTCTTAGAAGATATCTAATGGCTTTAAGTAATGACAATATTGACCAGTATGAAAATGATATCAATTAAAGAACTTTTGTGAGCATGCTGAAAAGACTAATAACTTCTACAAAAGTCAACTGATTCTTGTGGATATGAACATCTACATATGTTCTAGTTATCTACAAAGTTTCCTGATTGTATGATTTCAGAGGAGTCGCGATTTAAAAAAGATGAGTGATGGACAAACGGACTGATGGGTCAAAAACATTATACTTATTAACTTTGTTGTGCGAGGTATAATAACTTGGTAAATCCAATGAATTTATTTATGATTCTCAATTTCTAGAAATAAATTATGAGAAATAGTGTAGACCTGAAGAAATATGAACTATGATTTTTCTAGTTTTTGGAATGAAAAAGGTATTGCAAAATTATTCTTGTTTCAAGATTTTTGTTACATGGATAAAAATATAAGTGATACCTGTTCAGTAAGATGCCGTCTTGTTGTGGTATAAAAGTGAACTATGGCGTGTCAAATGTTGTAATATCCACAACAAATAAAATGTATGTTTATAAAATTAAATAATTGTTCGTAAAAATGAATATATGTTCATAAAAACAAAATATATATTCAAAAAATCAAAATATGTGTTCATAAAATAAAAGACGTATGCATAAAACATAAATAATTGTTCATAAAAAAAATATTTGTTCTTCAAAAAATTATGAATGTTCATAAAAACAAATAATTGTTCATAAAAACAAAAAACTGTTTACAAAAACGAAATATTTCTCATAGAATTAAGAAAAAATATTCATAAAAGTCAAATATGTATTCATAAAACGTTGAATATATATACATGAAAAGTTCAATATGTATTCATACATACACAATTTTTATTCAAAAAAAATAAAAATATGTGTTCATAAAACAAAATATATGTTCTTAAAAATTTATAAATGCGTTCAATAATTTGCATCATGGGATACCTCGTTGCTTTTGTAACAGTGTATTTGATTGGGTACGCACTGAAACCGGACCGGACGGGACCCTGGACCCGGAGTGTGGTCTGAAACCCGGACCCGGACTAGATGCCGAACGAGGACTGAGAAAGTTATGACCTAAAATGACCCCGGACTTCAACTTGTTTTGCATAAAAGATTTATGTTCTCTTTAGTCCAGGCCACTTCAGTTTACAGCTCGAATAACCTATATTTGTTTACGCCAAAAATTTTATGTGAGCCTAGTCTTAAGAATATACGATATAAATACACATCGACAGAAATGTAACTTAGATAATTTTGTAGCATGTGTAAATATAAATACTGGCATCCGTTATGCCGCATAATATCTGGTAGTGTATTGGAAACAACCCAACTAATGTGAAA